CAAAATCATTTGGAGAAAAAAAAAGGGGGGGGGAACCAGGTTTGCTGGTCCAATAGAGTCTGGTGGAACCACTGAGACTATGGCCCCTAGCTGCCCTCCAGGTCTGGAATTGAACCCACACCTGTGGTTTCCAGCCAAACAAAAGACAGGCATATGAGTTGAACATTTACCTCAGGTACATACACTCCTTGGAGAGAACAATCATGGGAGAAAGAAGGGCTGTTTATGCACAGGGAGACAGCTCACGGGCAGGCGTGCATGGAGGTAACTATTAGGAAGAAGTGGGAGAGGAGCTGTTGCATTGTGGTGAATTGTGGTCAATATCATGAGACAAAGTATATGTGAACTGTTGTATGAAAAGTGAATTTGCTTTGTAAATTTTCACCCAAATCACAATAAAAACAAACAAACAAAAAAATACCATTTAACCTAGCCATTCCATTACTAGGTATATATCCTAAAGTGACAGCCATGACAAGAACAGACATATGCACACCCATGTTCATCACAGCACTATTTACAATATCCAAAAGATGGAAACAACATAGGTATCCATTAACTGAGGAATGGATAACCAAATATGGTACATACACACAATGGAATACTATATAACCCTAAAGAATAATGTAGAATCTGCAAAACACTGCATAATGTGGATGAACTTAGAGAACATTATGCTGAGTGAAATAAGTCAATCACAGAAGGACAAATATTGTATTAGTCCGTTATTGTAAAAGTCAAGGAATTGTTTATATATGAAAGGAAATTTTCTTTGTTGGTTACCAGGGGTGGGAGGGTAGGTTAGGGAACACTGTTAGATAGGTAGAGATAAGTATTGATTTGGGTGAAGAGAAGGGCAATGTACCAAATGTGAGTGATCAATATGGTGGCATTGAGGAAGAGGAAGACATAGAGAGGTACATGGAATGTGCAGACAACAAAGATTAACCCTTTTGCACATACAGTACTGTGTTGTCAGTGAAGGCAAGTGAAAGTATATAGGTGGATAGATGGGTGGACAGGCTGAAGTATTAGTATGTCATGTCTATGTAGCAGGGAGTGTACCTAAGACCGTGTATAGGGTTGGCAGACAATGGTTCTACAAGGGTATTTGTATGTTCTGTAAGAATTCCCAGGGGTATAGTAGAGCTGACAAGGGACAAGGTTGTAGTCACTTCTTGGTCACAGCCAGCTACCCAGAGGGACCAAGTAGTTGCATCTGTGGGCTTGGGACCATAGTCGCAGGGGACATCAAGCTC